ATGTAATTTTCTTTTGTTCCCGAATCTGGCACAGTGCCCTGCTGGCGTCTTTTCAATAGGGGCCAGATTAGCATGCAGCGGTATTGTATCACTCATCACTAGAGCGCTGGAGTGCTTTTGTCTCCAATGGTAAATCCACAAACAGTGGTATAATCTTTCAAAACAATGTCAGATTTCTTCCACTATTGACAACTGAAAAAATATTGGCAATTCCCAGCAGCTGTCTTTTATTCTGAGTACGGTCTTACAAGGCCCACAGCTCTTTTGTCCAATTTCGGGCACCCCGGCTATGCGTACAAACCCAAGCTACCCGAAACAGGGCTCCCTGGCAGGATATGGTTGAGACCCTGCCGGCTGTGTGGATATTATCAAAGCATTATATTCCTGCATGATAAATGTATCCATCTTTGTCAGCCAATTCTTCACTGAAACACACTGAAATGGATTCCAAGCTACTCCATTCTTGCTTTTGTCCCGAGCAAACTAAAGTTCTATCCAATGAATGTGAAAAACAGTTTCCTGTCCTTGTCCTAAATGTTAGTTTGGAAGCCGGTATTGTCCTGGTACCCTTCCATATCTGTGTACATTTGTCGTATTAAAAAAGTGGGTTTTTTAAAATTAAAAACGTTTGTTTTACGTTTAAATTTGCCTCAGCATCGTCTGGAGAAGAAGACTGTCTTAGTTATCCAGACCTTTCATTTTGTTTGTTTCTCGAGCAATTATGTTCAAACAGAAACTGAAACAAGGGTCTAAGTGTCATGCCCATTGAGACAGTGATGTTGGATATGCAGCACTATGCGTGAAGTCGACATTAAAGAAGATCACTATTTTCAAGCACAGCGTTGTAGTTGGGACCTCTTAAGACCATCACAAGACCAACACAAGACCTCCAGTTGGAATTCAAGTCACAAGCTTTTTAAATGAACTGTGACAAAAGCATTCCTTTGTCATTGTTGCTTGTGAGGGGGTCTTGTGAATGGTTTTGTGTCTAGTCTGTTCTTGTGATGGTCTTGACGGCAACACTGTTCGAGCACCAGTTAAGGTTTTCAGAAAAGGCCAATGTGGGCATTCTTTTGCTGCGGTTTGTTTCTTAAACACTAGTCCCGTCCAGAAAAGACCAAAAATGAGGGGTGTGCATGTACTGTTACCATCCGAGGAGTCACATGACCTAAGCCAAAGTGCAGTACAGTGCATCTCATTACTTTCCCATTGATCTGGGTCACACCACTGCATCATCACTGACTTCCCAAACTATTTCAGTTTCACATGTTGAAATTTGCCCACTTTATTAACATGAGCATTTCCTCATTTCATTTCTTCAAATTCATCTGTAGCTGCATTGTATCTATCAACAATACATGGTTATTTCATCTGTAGCTACATTGTATCTATCAACAATACATGGTTATTTCATCTCTCCACCCTAACCTCTAGGTGCAGTGTCAATTGCACAGTCTTGTTGATGGTCTTTATCAGGTCCCATTGTCATACTTCTACTTGAAGCGTTTTCGGGAAATTTTTAAAAATATTAACAAAGCAAGAGGGAAAAACAGAAGAGTGCTAAAATGGCTTGATTTATAGTACACTATAAAAGTTCTTGATTTATTTGGTTAAGCCTTAACCCCTTCCACGGGGGATTCTTTTGACCATGACTGCTGGGCTGTGGTATGCCCAGAATGCAAAGCTCTGTCCAGCAGCAGGCCCCATTGAACCAGCAGCTGCATGGTGAATAGACTGTATGTGTGGTATGCACTAATCCTCACACAAAGCCGCGGCTGTACCTGGAGTGAAGGGGTCAATCACTTTGAAAATCGAGACTGTCATAAGACGAAACTGTTATCTCATGTGGTAAGGGACAACTCCTGAATGTGCTGCAGTGGTCATAGTTGGATGTCCATCTAGGTTATTGTACGGCAACATCACAGACCTCAGTTCTACACTGAAAATGACAATGAATCTCCATCAGAACTGGTTTTCTTATGGACACGTACATGCATATTTGTGAGAAACCTCCAACCGTGCACAGGTTAATACATTTTCAAGTGTCGGATTAAGAGGTTTATTGCCTATTTTCCCAAGTAGCCTATTTATGTCCACCAGTATATTGGAAAACTCAGCATGCAGAATACTTGCCCTTTTTGCTGTTCAAAAATGCAGCTTTCTTTTATTGTTTGTTGCAGTTTTTCCAATGCATGTCAGAGTCGCGGACCAGACCATCACAAGACTAGACACGAGACACGCAAAACGAGTCACAAGGAACACGGTGAACAGTGATGAGGAGTGCTTTGTTGCAATTCCTTTGAGTAGCTTGTGGCTTGAACTAAGACTGGATGTCTTGTGATGGTCTTAAGAGATCTTAACTGCCATGCAGGTCTACAGCACAGGTGTAAAACTTATTAAATAATATTACTGCACTGCAATCTCAGCTTCTGCTGTTTTATCTTTTTTCTCACAGCTTTGGAAGATCAAAGCCACGTGAGGAGGTGTGCTCGAGCATGGAGCCAGCTGCCCTCTCTGGCAGTCTGCATGACTTAACTTGGCAGAACGAGTAGCAATCTGTGTCCAGCGCCAAATATTCCATTCTGCCAAGCTTGTCTGTGATTGGTTAATGCATTGTTAATACCCAAAACATTTATCTGTGATTTGCCAGTGAGGTCATTGGAGCCGGTCAACTGAAATAGGTTGACCATCTCGCCAAAAAGTGTAAATTAAAATAAATTTAATATATGAAATGTAAACCGAGATACTCAGTATTATGTAATGATTGTAGTGATTTGAAAGCCTGCCAAAGAAAATGTGGAATCTTGTTGACTCTTGCATCCAAATAATAATATGTAAATGTCATTGTCTGAATAGCCCAATGCTGTGAAATTCCACATTGATTGTATGGAGTTTATCCCATTGAGGGTAAACATCAGGTTGTGATAGCCTCCAAACTGATAAACAAAGCTTCCTATTGGCAGCCAAGCTAATATTACAGTCATATTATGCTTCATCAACCAGTCACAAAGACGGACTCTTACAACCGCAACAGCATTTGGTAGTGAATTTCTCCTTGGTTTGAATGTGTATTTCACATTTGGATTAGAGAAGTGGAAATGGCAGAGTGTCAGTGTTTGAAGATGTGATTTTAACTTTACAAATATATGGAGATATTAGTGACATTTTGTATTATTTTGTATTGTCGTTACTGTTTTTATTTTTAAGAACGTTCAAAACACTTGTCAACGTTTGATATAACATGATACTTTTATGAACAGAGAGATGTCAAATGTGTTAATTTGTGGTGCTTTAGTTATGTGTCTAATTTATTATTTTGTCTAATTTATAATCATTTACATTTAGCATTATTGTTTTGCATATGTAGCTATGATAGCTGTGTATGAAAGGAGTCATGTGTCATTGCTTTTATTAAGTAAGGTTTGCTGTTATTGACACTGCTATACTCCCCACATCCAAACGAAAGCGAGGCTGCACTTACAAACTCCTTGGCTTCACTACTTTGGAGGTTGTTAAGGTATGCCAGTACAGCCTCTCTTTCAGATCAAATGTGCCAAGGGCCCACATGTTCAGCATTGCCCATACAAAATTGCCATATTGGAATTGGAACAGAGGCAAGGGTTGCACCTGCAGCTCCTCTTTCAGACCAATCGTTAAGAGCCTGTTGAGAGCCGGCCGAGAAAATTTCCCAAGTTTGCCTGGGTGGGATTTGAATTTGACACCTGGGGTTACCTGGCTTGCTGACCTGTTAGAATCCAAGAGGTGAGATAGGGTTATGATTTGTAGATATCACAGTCAAGCCTGCCCTACCATTGGCAGTTTTCAGGCTCTACAGATATCCTAGGCAGGGTGCATGTATTGTGACCGAAGCAAATTACCAGCTATGAATTTTGTTTGAGCCAATTTTTGTCACAGATCCGTGATTTTTCTTAGTATCAGATGCATTTTTGACTTTGTTTTTCTCACTTTTTTAGCTTCTCCATCTTTTCTGAACACTTTTTATCAGAATGTAATCATCACATTTTCTTATTTCCTGTACATTCCCAAAATTTCTTCCCAACTGAAGGTTTGCTAGGCAGATCTCATTTGACCTTTGACATGGGGATAACCACTTTCTCATGATAGGTCAGTAAGCTACCCTTAATGCTCCCTTTCCTTTCCAGGGAAAAGCCATCATTTGGTGATTGCAGTCGGGGCAGTTGGTATGGGAAGAGAAGCTCTCATTTAAGACACACATCGATGCTAACTGCTAACCAAACTGCTCTGAAGACATTAACATGTTTAATTGAATTCATCGTAAGAATTTGAAAAATAATGTCATTTATTAGCTTATACTCCGGTTTATTCTCGGCATTTGACAGTAAATTCACTTTTGTGGGCCCCAGTTAGTGTATTTGACAGAAAGAGACTTTTAGAAAATTTGTGTTTTGACCAAGTGAAAAGAAGCATTGTACTACAGTCATTTTTCAAACATGTTTTTATTTAGTTTTTGACCAACCAGTCTCAGATTTCCTTTGAAAAGCAGAAGGTTGGACATAATGGAAGGTTCGTTGAAGGATGGAGAGTTTAGTTACAGCTGTCCTTGAGCATGAATTAGCCCATATTTCTTGGGAGTGTTTACAAGTTTCTTTTCTGACTAACCCAAACACCCTAAGCCATTTTTGCAAATTTCAGTCCAGCAAAATTCGCCAACTGTCTCCATGTAAAACAGTATACACGCCCTCAATATTCCAAGATCCTCCATCATTCCTTGAATGTGTTCCATGGAAGGGTGGTCAGTCATTCAGTCCTCCAGCCAGCCCTGTCATTCTGTTGAGGCAGCTCAGATACTGTTTGAAGCAGTTTGGATACTTTCCTGTATAATCTGGGTCTAACTTTACCCATAGACGAGTATGATAATGCAAGGTCTGTCCCAAGACTTTGACACAAGGCACCTTTCCGAATCAGCCTCAAGTTTTTGCCACAGAGGCTAGATCTTTCAAAATCCACTCCCACACAAGGATTTTGGCAAATTTGGGAAGGTCAGGGTCAAGTGGGGCTGTAAATATTGGTACAAAATCTTGAGAGCTGAATTCCAGGAGACTGAAAGCCCACTTGGTACATGTATATGCCGTGATTTATACACAGTTTTGCTTGAAAATATTAGCATGTACTCTGCTGTGCTTATTACTTTGTGGTCGCCATAGCATGGATAATGGTTATGTTAGTGGGTATCTTTCATGCGAAACGGTGACATGAATGTCACCCTAGAAGCTAAGAAAGACAACTGAATCAATACACAACTTATTGTTTGGGTGGGCTGTTGTGAGTATGTATGGACGTAATTGATAAATGCTCTACGTAGTTGTGCGGTACTGTTTTGCAGGCAAGACAGCTCCAAATGTTCTCTCTGTTTTCTCTCCTTTTTCACCTGCTCGTGAATAAAATCGGCTGACAGTTGTATGCGCCATTGAAGTGTCATTAATAATGTATCCCTGGTCGCTTAATGTCAGTGTAATTTTTGGTAGTGTTGCGTTACTGACGATGTGTGTTGGAAAGCAATGGATATTATGAATGACACCATTTTAAACATGTTCTTATTTTTTTTTTTACTGCTATTTGCTTCTTGTGTCAAATGAGCCTATACATACCACAGTACAAGTAACAAGGCAGTGACATATCCAGGTCTCAGATTTATGGGCGGGGAGAGTTGGACATTTTTCCAAGAATGACTCCAAATTTTTACATCCTTAAAACAATCCTCAACCCCCCCCTAGCAAATTTTCCAATATGCTGGCGCTTTCAATTCCTCCAAAAAAACAAAGGGGTTCGGGGCGTCCATGAAGAGCCCCTAAAATGAACCCTCCAGACTTCCAGTTTCTGAGGACATAAATTGCAGGCCTCTCTCCATGGCATACAGCAGCTCAATTTGAACTGATGTTTGTGGCACTCAAACACCATACCTTATTATGAAAATCCACATTTTATAATTTAATCCAAAAAGATTGTCTTTCTATTTGATCTGATCATGGAAATCCTTTAAAATGTTCCAGAGCCTGAGATATATCTGACTTCTCAGAAACGTCCACAGTCTACTTCCTCTTGTTGAACTTTGACCTCTGCATCAGCATCCGTTGCCGGCCTTCCATTTTTTTCTGGATGGCCTCCTGGCGTTGTTTCTTGCCGATGTGCCGAGCCTTGCTCTGCTCCTTGGCCCGCCGTGCCTTCAGGACCTGCTCGTGGCTCTTCACCTCCTGCCGAGGACCTCTCTGCTTGCCCTTCTTGCCCTGGGCAGGGCCACCCAGACTCTTCCCCCGAGGGAGGGGCGCAGCATACTTGGACGATGTGGTGGAGGACTTGAGGCGATTCTTCATGCGACGGCTAAGGCCGAGCGTGGAGAATTTGGCTGCAAGGTAACATCAAGAGTTCCGTTTCATTAGTACATGTTTCATTTTGTAGCACCCCTGCTGATGGATAAGTGTTTCTCATTGCTGCATACTGATTTCTTCATACTGATTTCTCAAAGTACCTGTACTTAGGCCAAAGTACTCTTGCTCATGTCAAAGTAGTTGTTCTAAGATCCAAGTACTTTTACTCATTGCAAAGTACTTGTACTAATGTCAAACTACTTGTACTCAAGTCAAAATACTTGTACTCATGTCAAACTACTTGTACTCATGTCAAAATACTTGTACTCAAGTCAAAATACTTGTACTCATGTCAAAATACTTGTACTCATGTCAAAACACTTTCACTCAAGTCAAAATACTTGTACTCATGTCAAAATACTTGTACTCACGTCAAAATACTTGTACTCATGTCAAAACACTTTCACTCAAGTCAAAGTACTTGTACTCATGTCAAAATACTTGTACTAATGACAAATACTTGTACATGTGTAATCATAAAAACACTTGTACTCATGTAAAAGTACTTGAACTCGTCAATACTTGCTCTCATGTCAAGAGTACTCATACTCACTTTAAAGTACTTGTACCCAAGTCAAGGTGCTTACACAAGTAACAAAGTTCTCATACTCGTACTTATGGAAATTTTCTTTACCACAGCACTGGATTGTTTTTTAAGTCAAGTCAAGCTTCATACTGATCTCTACATTGTTTGACATAAACTCTGCACGGTCGCTAAAAACAGGATTTCTGTATTTTAAGCATTGCAAACTGTACCTTGATTGTTCTTTCCACTCTCGTTTTCATCGTCACTCTCAGCTGCTGCCTCCATCCTTGCTTCGGCTTTGCTCCTCTCCAACCATTCTTTGTATCTGATTGGCCAGCAGTCAAGGAGATGAACCAATCAGTGGATATTGCATGACTTACCCATTTATTCAACAAAGAAATGAGTGAAATAATCCAAACCATGTAGGAACACAGTCAGAAGTTGTCTCAAAAGAAGACCTGTGAAGAATCGTCTAGATCACAAACATTTCAAGAAGGAAAAGCTGTTTTTCTTTTAAAATTCTGTCAATGTGTACACATTTGCATTTGTGCAGTGCTTTTCACAGTGTTGTATTCG